AGTTGTTTTACATATTTATATGAAAAGGTAAAATTAGTTGGGCCTTATAATGAAAAGTTAACTAAAATGTAAGCCTTAAAATAAGAATAACCTAAAATATAAGTCTTCTATTGAAAAAGTAAAAGAATCAGGCCCTAGATTAATACAATTACTAAAAGTTAGGCCTTGTAGTAGAATTTCCCCTTTCCTACACTCCTAAATTTGGGTAGTTTAAAAATTGTACTCCCACCATTGTGCAAAAGTAAATTTATTAACCATTAAGGCAATTTAAAAAATTTTAGTAATTATTATTATTATTACTATTTCAAAAGTAAATGAACTACTAGTATCTTTTAATTAAATATATAATAATCTAGTTAACAATAATATTATGTTATGTTCTTTTAATAGTCATTATTAATAGAAAATAATGACAAAAATGAACTTAAGGGATTGCACATGGTCACACAACAATACATCTTATTAATCTCAATTTTTAGAGTGAAGAATGAAATTAATTTTTGGTAGCTCATATAATTCATAAGATGTTACACCTCAAAATCATTTCAAAGAATTATAATAAGAACATAGGGAAAAGAATTATGATCAAGAATTCAAAATTAGGACAATTAGCTCTATAAACCAAAATTATTGTAGTCTATCATTCTAAACTTTGTAGGTGGATATATATCATTCATTGGTCATGTCACTATAATTTTCAATCAAAATTAATATTTTTTTTTTTTGATTTACTTATTCTCTTTCATAATTAATTAACTTTCTGATATAGAAAGATTGATATATCTTCAAATGTAATATATTTATCTATAAGTTTTAGTTAAAAATAAAATAAAATTGTATGGCTCTCATAGAGTTCCATCATTTATGGGTATTTTCCACTAAGTACTTCATGGGCCATTTGCCTGTCAATTCATTAGGGATTCATTTAATAGATCTAATATTTTATTCATGTGTTTATGAAAATATATTTTGACAACACAAGATTTTTTCATTAATTACAATAAATCCCTTTTACGGCTGAGGCCGCCCTAAATACAAAAACTGCAAATCGAGATTGGTTCAATTGTTATTTGAAGCTGCTAATTAAGATTGGTTGAATATTGAGGTTTGAGAGAGTGAGAGTGTTTGATTTTTTATGTGAGAGATATAAACCTAGGTTTATGCATTTGTGTACTTTGTCTTTCGAAGAATAGAGAAAAGCAATATAATGTATAATGGAGACGAACAACTCGATCAAACAACAATCAAGAATCACGAACAAGAATTTTGAACGGATTTAAACAAAGAACTCAAATAAATAACCTCGATGTACGCAAAACACGCTATACGGAAGATGAATTTGTCAACAGCTAATGCACATGACTAGAACACAATCATTTTTACCTCGTGTATACTAACACTTTAAATACACAGTGTTTTCGAACATGCTCGTATACAAAACTGTCAATAAATGAACGGAAACAAAAGAACACAACATGTTATGTCTTTTAATGTTTTAACTATTTATTATCTTCATTTAAAATCAAGTGTACATAAATTTCAAGTTATATTGATATTTATAGATATAGAAAATCATTTACACGAGGTTCAAAAAAAAAATTCTAGACATGTCTAGATGGAAACCTACGCAACCAACTGAGCCAACACCTCTTGGTGGCCAGTCGTTGTGACCCTGGGTGTCAAATTCTATAGCACCTGAGCCGTTGCTCGGCGACATGCGTCACTGGGTCGCCAAGGTCCCATTTCACTAAATGATCTCCACGTGCAATTTTTTGCTTTTTTCACGTTTCGAACATGTCTGTTTTACGACTTTAACCATCTTCCGAGCTACTTAATTCAGGTTTTTTTTTTTCAAATGATTGATAATCTCATTGAACACAAACCGGAGCAAATGCTCCAAATACAACTGAAAACATAGAGAGAACCATACACAAGGTATGACCTAAATCACCTAAACACACTCACAACTCACCCACAACCACAAAAACCAAAAAGAGAAACAACGCCAGCACAAATCCTACTCCCCACGGGAGATCACTCAACTCCCCAACGGGAGATCATTCTACTCCCCACGGGAGATCAGTCTACTCCCCATCGAAAGATCAGTCTACTCCCAAACAGGAGACTACAAGTCTACTCTCAAACAGGAGACTACAATACCCACACAACCCAAACCACAAAAACATAACACAAATCCACACAACACCAACCAAACAAGCTACACCTACTACCACTGGGCACCCGATCAACTCCGGCAGACTCATCCACGACCTGAAAGCCTGCTCCTGATATTGCACCCAAGTGCCTAACCGAAGCACACACCCAAGCCCCAAGCCACACCCGAACTTGACCCGACCCATCCGGAGGACAACCAACCTCGCTTCCCACACAACCCATACATCGGACTCCAACACCACTGTATCAGTCCGGGTGCACCGGCCACCTCCTCGACCACACACAACAGATCAGAGGAGAAGAAGGGGCATCGAGGAAATTGCCCCCAATCCTGGCCGCCACGGCCAAACCACCGCAACCAGCCCGAGCCACGTCCCACCCCCGTCGCCACGCCCCTCCTTGAAATGCCCCGAAACCCAAGGACACCAATGGACCCAATCCATCCACCGGCACCATTTTTTAGGAGAAGCCCGGTGATAGACGACAGTCCATAGCGCATGGCCAAAGTAAACAGAAAAGGGCGCACGAGCATAGCCAAGAGCGTGCGGAATAGGACCGTCCCCCGACTTAATTCAGGTTTAAGATGCAAAAAACTCATATTTTTCTATAAAATCAACTTAAAATTAATTTCTCACCCACCCTAAAATAGATTTGAGATATTTCTAAGTTCCTCATTGACCAAAAAAAGGAAACCATAAAATCACTATAAAACCAAATTTACTTATGTAATTACCGTAAGGATTACCCAATTACCCCTTCAATTTCGGATTAGAATAGAAAAATTCAAGACTTTCATAATAGGGATTGGATAATTAATTAAAAATGTTTAAATTATACTAAATTGTCCTTATAGTAATGCTATTGCGAATTAATTATAATTGGAATACGTTCCACTGCATAGACTAATCGTGAATTGTCTTTAATTATTACTAATTTTATATAATATATTTTCAATGAATTTTTATAAATGAAATATGTTCCACTACATAGATTAATTGTAAATTGTCTCTAATTATTATTAGTAGAACAAAATATCAAGAAATCACACCCAAAAAAATTTCCACTCATCTTTAATCCAAAAGAGTCTAAAAATTGAAGCTTCGGTTCATCATACAAAGAATGCAGACTATTTGTTTGTTGGTAATACACTATGACATAATCAAAGAATGGCACATAAGTTACAGTATATCAAATCAAAGCCTATATCTTACAGGCTCAATCTCAATTATAAAACAGAATGAAAAAAAAAAAAAAAAAAAAAAAAAAAAAAAAAAAAAAACAAAAAAAAAAAAAAAAAAAAAAAAAAAAAAAAAAAAAAAGCTCGATACGCGACTTCAGGAAAAAGAAAGAAAAACCGAACAGAAGGAATGAAGAAACTCGACTTTGAACACTGTCAGCAAATTTCACGAAAACTACAATTTCAAGTTCATGATCCTTCACTTAAAATGGTCTGGATGTATAATTGCCACATATTCGGAACACAATTCATCGTTATCTTTCTGTTTCCATATCTCACCATTTGCATGGACGAGCCACGATATTTGAGGAAGTGCCGTATAATCTGCTAAAAGAAAATGCTAAAACAGTGTAACCCAATACAGCAGTGCTAAACAACAAAAACAATATTGATTCATAAGATTTTATATAAAAATGGCTTTGGCATATCCACAGAAAACCCAAAAAAGTTTCTGATAAAATTACAGACATCAAGTGTGTTTCGCATTCTTAGAACCATTCTGGACATCTAGTAAGGGTAGTTTTCATAATTTCCTAAAAGGAGATAAAGGAGGTTACCTGAGGATAGCTGCTTTACGGGATCTCTTGTACTGTGCAACACCATTGTACCCGAAAGCACGGTTACAAATCCACAGAGAACTGAAACAATGCTACTAGTACTCTGACCAGACCAATCCTAGAGAGTTTTAAAAGAATTTAGAGTCTCAGCGTACACATACAGAGAGTAAAACCACCAAAACCCAGATTATCTCAAATACCTTAAACATTATGGCACTTGCAAGAATCGTGAGCGATGTGAACATTGCGTAATAGATTGGAGATACTACAGCAGTGTTAAACGAGTCCAGGGCCTGAAGAAAAACTTTACGTGATTTGCATATCTATCGAGATAAAGAACTTGATGCATGGAAATAATTCAGTTCGGTATTTCAAACTCAGAAATTCCAAGTGAATATAAATAAGCGTGATTTTACAAATTATAAGAGGTACTGGAATTTCAACTAGGGCGGATGGAATCAAACCTTGTTTAAGTAGATCAATTGAGTGGCAATGCAAGTGACAGCAACCATTGCAAATACCCAGGACTTGAAATGGGCAACCTGGTTATTACCCTCCAGGGTGAGTTTTATGGCAATACCTATTGCTTTTATGCTCATGACCTGCAATGAATCTAAAATATTGTTAACTAGTGACCAAAAACACAATTTACCTAGCAACACTAGCTACATACTTTGTCAGGATTCAATCTCCATATATTACACAGTTCTACTATCCGTGAAGCTTTTTCTCACTGTGCTAATCCTCAGATGTCTGTTGATATATTGAGGATATCACAATGTAATGTGATGGAGATGGATCCATAATCATCATTTTTTCGCACTTCACTTCCTTTTAAAAATAAAAATAAACTAACATTTTGAATACCAACTGAAAAATCAGGAACCTGAGTAGCCTAGGTGAAATTGTCTTTATATTCAAGTAGACAAGGATATGTACTTACTGTTATAGATCCAACAACAGAACAAACACCGATATAAACCATGATGTTTGTCTGTCCATACCGCGGTTCACAATACAACACAAGTACCAAGACCACTGCTGCTATTGAAGCAATGTACATAAGAAAAGCTGGACCAATAGAAAATACAAACAGGTTAGCAATAACTTTTCTCGTTTCCATCCTAGAGAAAAATTAAGGGAATTAATACTACTATCACATCAAGTATGAGGGCTCACCAGGCTGTACGGCTAGTTCCCAGATTTCTTCTACTGAGCTAATACTGTGTTCCCCGGGTGCATGAAGCACAATGACTGTACTACCCACGACACACAACATGCATCCCAATATTCCTAACTTCCGCAATTTCTCTTTGAGTAAGAAATGAGCTAAAACAGCACTGCGAACAAATTATGCACCACATAATGCATATTCATACTTCATAATATACTGCCAATTAGAAACAGAGTAGAAGGAAGAGAGAAGAATAAATTGAGATTTACCTGACAATTATACTTAATGCTCCAAGTGGTGTCACAAGGACAGCAGGAGCATACATGTAAGCAACAAAATTGGCAAACTCCCCAATGACCACTGAGATTAACCAAAGTTAAATTTTGATTTTACAAAAACATAAGTATATTTAATTTCAGTTCTTCAAATAAGCAGACTTACTGGTAACCATTCCAATCCACCAAAGTGGTTCTAGCAAATATCCATATCCTCCTGAACCTTCATTTAATACAAAGTGTATTACTAAAAATAAATTTTGAACAGTGGCTAATGTTATCTCCTTGTAAAAGTTGCACCATATGTAAGTTCCACCAGAAACATTCTCCTTAATATTCCATCTCCCTAGTGTAACTTAAGAGGGAACCATACATAGTATTTCCAATCAAACCGCAATCCATCAATATGAATACTTGAGTACCTAACTAATTTATAGCCTGATGACTGCAAGGCACACAAAATCAACATTTAACTTTTATGAATCCTATATACACCAACAACCCCAGAATGTCTTACCGACCTGAAGCATGAGCCTTTTCCTCAACAACTCGAATCATGGTCTCACTTTCATTCCCATTTATTACACTTTCTTTTCGCTCAATTTTCACCATTTATGTTTCTATCCAGAAGTTCATATCAGCTCGCGTACAACCACTTTACAGCTACAAGTGACTTTTCTATATCCTAAAACACTAGATAAATCACCAAAATTTGCATAAAACAGTACAAGAGTTCTACACTTAAATCCCAACGTTAACAGCATCTTATCCCAACAAATAACTACAAGCCCATACAGGGGACATATATATAATATTATATATCACTCATTACATCATTTTTGAACCTTCAATCACAACATTAACACAGCCACCCAATTACCCAAAAAGAAGAAAAAAAGGCCAACAACGAAAACTTACCAGCACGGGAACCAGCCGCGCCAGCCCTCTGCAAACCCTTCTTTTTAATGATGAAGCTCGACCCAATAAACGCGCTCGAGCCCACCGCCAATCCGAACCCGATTAGATTGGCCCTATACATAACCCCACCCTATCAAAATCCGACAACAACAACCTTGGTCGAGATGCCCCAGGAGCTTAATTTTCATCTGCTGCTGGCCCTTCCCCAAAATAAGGGACGAAAAAGATGCAGGAAAGTCGGGATTTTGACGGAGTGATGAGGACGATTTGAAATTTTAGGGTTTCGAATTTGGGGAAGACCTCATTAGCATGTCTGTATGCGCATAACGTGGTTGATTTCTCTTCATCAACTGGTCAAACAAATGAGATAGGGTTGAAGAGAGTATATTTATAAGCTGAACCGCAGTGGGGCCCACGAGCCTGGAATTGGAGGGAATTTTCTTGAAGGTATATCCCAATACGTAATTTGTGTTTTGGCCAAAAAATTTGAAATCCAGACAGAATGTGTGGGTCAAATTTGTACTGTAAATTTTATATGTTCTATTAAAAGTTAAACAAAATTGAAAATAAATTTAAAATTATTTAATTTATATGTGATATCTAAATTGGAATGCAACTAGTTAAATACTTCCATATTATCATAATAATTATAAATAAAAATTAATGCTAATGATTTACATCATTAATATTATAGTTTTTCAAATTCATCAAATTCCAACTAGTGATATTATAGGGATGCATCAAATTCCAACATCTATATATATATAATTACTGGCTAACATGCATTAAAGAAAACCTATTTAATTTTACCTAGCTGTCATTTCCCGCCATTTTCGGTTACTGTTCACTTTTTTGCGTTTTTT